TACATTTAATTTATTTATATTAACATAAACATCTGATGAATATTCAAAAAATATAACAAAATTATCCAAATAACTTAATGCTTTGATTTTAGAAATTACTATCAAAAATACTTCATTTGAATCTATTTCTAATTTATTATTATTATTTGACTTTACCATAGATATAATATCATCATCAGTTAATCTTTCATTATTTTTTAAATAATCATCAATATGAAGAAACTCATTTGTATTCATAAGATCATCAAATGAAAGTTCATTAATTAAATTTTATAGTTCCACTTTATCATGAAATGCTTGATCTTCAATTTTACAAATTCATCTATTTTATTATCTTGTGATAAAATTTCTATATATTTCTAATAGTTAATAATGGTTTGTTAACTTATAGAATTCTAAGCATTTATGCTAATTCAATAGAATCATAAATACTTATAGAAACAGATTCTTTATTAAGTTCTTGTAAAATTTCATATATTTTAATCCTATTTCTAACAAGTAATTTTTAGTACTATGCCTAAATAATTAAAATTTATTGTAAATCAAATTTTTAATCTATTTAAAAAAAAATAAAAAAAAGTATATTATTGTAAAAAAATCACTAACCTTAAAAAAATTAATTATTCTAGAATTACAAGACTGTAAATGAGATGTAGTATTTAGTGACAAAAAATGAACTACTACATTTGTTAAATTATATCTTTATTTATAATATATACTAAAGCATTATTAATTAGTAAAAAAATATTGCAATTTTGTAATCACATTTGCATATCTAATTTTTTAAGATAATTATTCTATATAGAAACTTGCATTTATGCATTGAATTCTAATAGTAGCTCACTGGTAACTCATTCTTTTTTCTTCTATTTTATGCTTGTGGATTCTAGTATTTATAAATAAACAATAGTTTTAATTTTTCAATACCAGTAGCATGACATGTGAAAAGTAAAGTAATTTATTTCTTAGATTTCTTTGTTCTAAAAAGAGATCCTTATATTTTTAATGATTTAAAATCCCAAAATAATCCTAAAATAAAAAAAATTTTAAATATAAAAAAACAAGTTTTATAAAAATATATTAAAATTTACCTGTTTTATTACAGTTAAAAATATTATTTAAATCATAATTTTAATAATTTCACGTAAAATACCTCTCTTTTTATCTAAAGTTTCTAATAACATACTTTTTACTTCACCTTACTTAGTGTATTCTTTTAAATTATGGTGCTTTTTAAATTTATCAACCCACCCATTAGAAATTGAAAAATTATTAATTTCAAATTGTTGTGTAAATATTTTATATTTTCACGTAAAATATCAGTATTAATGATAATTTCCATAGCAAGTGCATTTGTTATCCATAATGAAAGAGCTTTCTCTATTTGAAGAAAATAAATAGGTCTTTCTTTCTATTTATTTGCTTCTTCTAAATCTGGATTTATAAGTAACTACTTATTTTTTTTTAAAATATCTAAAAGAGTATTTTATTTAATTTTATATAGAGCAGCAAATTCTTTTTAAATAAACTGTAGTATTTTTTGAGAATCTAACAAAGTTGACATTTTTGTATATGTATTAAAAATAACTCCTTTATTTAGTTAGTATTTATCTTAAATAAACTTCTTTTTTTATTATTAAGACATAATTACAAAGTTAAAATATGACGTGTTAAAATAAAAAAGTTAGTATATATATTAGTATAACTTAAAATATTGGTATATGTTACTATATATTACTTATTAAGGGATAAAGAAATTATATCAATATATGTTATATTGTGAAACAATATGTAATATCAGTATAATAAGATTTTTTACTAATTGTGAAATGGATAAAAGAAATTTATAAGTATATAATAATTATCAATATATAAACTATTAGTATTTTAAGATTAAACTATATATTTAATATTTTTTATAATATTAATACAGAGATTTTATAATGAATTTTTAAGTACTTTGATTAATATCAATTACTTTTTATTTTTAAATGAAAGTTATTCAGCAAGTTTAATACTATTTATATCTAATTTTTTATCAAAGTTAGTTTAATATTTATATAATAATTTTTTTATAATTTTATTAAAAAGTTATACTTTTTTGATATTACAAGAAAATTTGAATACTTTAATTAAGTAATATATTTTTTATTTCTAAGTAAAAATTATTTTACAAGTCTGATATTATTTACATATAAAATTTTATTTTGTTGGTTTAATATTTGTATATTAATATATTTTTTTTAACTTTATTAATAGTATAAACTTTTTTTTAATTTTACAGAATAATTTAAACACTTAATTTAAAGTAAAATATCTTTATTTCTAAATAAAAGTTATTTAGTAACTTTAATACTATTTATATTTAATTTTTCATTGAAATTGAAATTAATTTAATATTCATACAATAATATTTTTTTATAACTTTACTAAATAAGTCATACTTTTTGATTACATAAATTAATTTGATTACTTTAGTTAAAGTAAATAACTTATTATATATTAAGTAAGCATATTTTATAAATCTAAAACTATTTATATATCAAGTTTCGTTTAATATTTATTAAGTAATAATTATTTTTTATAACTGTATTAATTTCTGATTTTTTTTATTTTTTTTTTAATATTTATATAAATGTATATTGTAAAATTACCATACTTTATATAAAAAAAGTATAAAATAAAATATTTAAAAGTTATTATTTTATTTTATTATAATTAATTGTTTTAAATAAATTTCAAAAATTTTTTTTAGATTTTATTATATTTTTATAATTATATAAAATAATAATTTATATAATAATTAAAAGTTATAATTACATTTTTTCATGCAGAATTTTATTCTTTTTCAAATATATATTCAATTATATTAATTAATGAAAATTTAAAAAACTTTTATTAAGAGTAAAATTCATTTTGAATTTCATGAAAGTATGTAAAAAAAAAAAATATTCTGTTTTTTTCCTTCTGTCTATCTATTACAATTTTTGCTTTATACTTTTAACTTATTTATTTATTCTTATAAAATAACAAATTATAGGATTATTTATATTATACCTAATCATCTAAAAATAGGTATTTTATATAAATATTTTATTTTTATTTATTTTATTTATTTTTTTTTATTTTTGATTTTTACATTTACTTTTTTTCTTTCTTTTCTCCTTTTTATTAAGTATATTTATTTGTTTAAATATTATTTTATAATATTATTAATTACTAACTTTATTTTAATATTTTTATTAATTTTGTTACTTTGTTACTTTATTTATATACAGTTGTCCTTTTCTATAGTCACCCTTATACAATTACATCATATAAATCTCTCATTATTTCTTAAGAATTATTACCTATTAATGCTATAAAAATTCTTTTATAATTATAATGTTTTCATAATTATACTTTTTTAGAACAAATACTTAGTAATAATATATAAAAATTCCCTTGTATAGTAACTTTTTATTATAATCACTTTTTATTTTTAGTCTTGAGAAATGTGACTATAAAGAGAGACAACTGTATTACAAATTATTTAAATTTATTTATTTTATTTTTTTTTTATATATTTTTATTATATTATATAGTATTATTATTATAAATATTTGTATTTTATTATTATTATTTAAATTTTATTTAATAAATAAATCAATTTAAATAATTTATTAATAAATTAATAAGTTATAAATTTGGTATTATTATGATAAATTAATTATATAAAATTATATAAAAATTATATAAAAAATTATGTATTATATATATTAATAAATTATTGTAGAGTTAAGAAATCTCAAAATAACATATTATGTGACTTTTACAACAAAATAAACAAAAATTAGAGAAGCTGAAATATTAAAAAATTAAGAAATAATTAATTAAATAAAAGGTCATAAAGGAAAAACATTTAGTCAGAAATCATATAATAATAGATAAATAATTAACTAAAATAATATGACAAAATACAAATCATCTAATATAACCATTAGAAAATACAGTTATATAAAATACAACATAACTTGAAAGTAATACAAATCACATAATTTAATTAAAAGAGAGTATAATAACTAAAATGTATTACAATAACTAGAATATGATACGATAATTTAAATATTATATAATAACTAGAAAATAATATAATAATTAGAATGTTATATAATAGCTAAGATTATTTGTCTAAACTCATTTTAGATTTGGTAAAATGTCTAAACTATAGTTTTACCAATTTTTTATTAAGGTTTTAATATAGTTTCATATTTTATAAACTTTAATATGATTTCACATTTTTTAGAATTTTGCAGATTTTTAATAAGATTTTAATATAATTTTACTAAATTTTACCTTTTTTTCATTTAGATAACTTGCAAAACCTCTAGATTTTATTTAGCAACTTTAACAATAGTTAAAAAGAATCACGTTAATTAGAATGTAATATAGACTAAATTATAAGACTTATAATTATAAAATACTAAGTTATTAAAGGAAGAAAATAATTAAAGGACTCTTAGATTTTAAAGAAGAAAAAAAAGGAAATTGATGAATATGCATAAATATTATATAAGATTCAAATAAAAGAAACTAAATGAACTGAGACTATGAAATACTTATATAATCTATATTACTAAAAAAGAAAATTACCATATAGTACTGCATACAGTATCCCTAATCTTAATCAAAAATATTGGGTTAGCTCGAATAGTATCCCTAGGGATACCAGTGATGACAAGTGACCTTTGATGATCCAAATGACTTTGATGACTTGTTACAGGTCATTGGATTATTTTAAATGCTAAATGACCCATGACATAGGTTATTTAAATACTTATATAATAAATTATTAATAAACTAATAAGTATTAATAGAAACTTTATTTCATTATAACAAATTGACTTTTATTTATTTTTATACTCAAACAACTATTTACAATTGAATAACTAGTTACAATTAGTTAAAGAATCAAGATAAATTGAAACTTCTAATGTATCATTAAATAAATTTAATAAATCTCATTTTGTTAACGGATTATCTGCTGGATAAATAACATGACCAGTCAATTCAAACCCAAGTGACTCTTCATCAACATCTTTACCATTATCTAAATGATTTCCAGTATCTAACATTTTAATCCAATTTTCTACCATTTGTAACCAGTGATCCACATTATGAATTTCATTAGCATTATTATTCTCTTCAATAAATATTATTGTATCTGTTTTTTCCTCTTCATTATTACTACTATCATTTAAAATAAAAAGGTCATTATCATCATTATATAGTTGTATTAGAGTAGCAATATGAATTCGTTTATATTGTTATTCAGAATTTTCAATCTATTTTCTTTAATATATCACTTTGTAATTGACTTATTGCTAATACTTTTTTATGCTTAAAATATAATTTAATCAATAATTAGAATATATTTTATTAATATAAAAAAAAATTAAATTTTTTAATTTATACTTATACTAAGATGGTTTTGACGCTTTATATACAAAAATCCTATAGTTGACCAAAGGCATTCAACTGAAGCTGAATTAACATATATACTAAATAAATGTAAAGCTAACCTAGAAAGTTCTGATACTAAACCTTTAGCTGATTTCCAAAAATTTATAATATTTTCATTAAATTGATTATATATATTATAATCAAAAGGAAACTTTTTTCTTTGATAAGATAAGTATTTATATAAAATACTTTTTTTGGTAATTTATTAAACCATACTTAATAATAATAACCTAATCATTGCTCAAAATATATATAAGAAATATTTGAAGAATTAGAAGAAAATTTTGAAAGTCGATAATTTGGATATAAAACAAATAATAATAAGAGAAGAGATTGTTTCTATTGAGTCCATTATATCATTAATTTTGCTATCATTTGATTAGAAAAGGATTCATTTTTATGGTTAATAAAAATTTTAATAATCCAACCAAAACAATGAAGAATTTCATGTAAATATGCAATATCTTTTTGTAACTTATTTAAGACTTCACATAATAGTAACGGTAATAGCAAATTCTATAATTCATAAAATTGTGATCAAAAATTAAAATTATTAACTATTACTATAATATCTGATGGAAGTACTTTATTATTTTCTGATAAAGAACATTGTCATAAAAGTTTACTTCTTGAAGTACTAACTGATCCCATTCTTTCTGGAGAAAACTTTGTAACCAATGTCTAAATAAATATAAATTATATTTAAAAAAATTTAATATTTATAAATTATTAAAAAAAAAAAATAATTACTTTAAGTGTAACTTCTGTTTTTAATATAGAATTAAAACAAAAATAAAAGCTATTTTAGCAAGTTTCACCTGAAGTAAGAAAAGAAATAGTTTGATTGTAACATAATTTTTGTTTATTTCTTAATAAACCTATAAAATATGATGAAGAATGAAAGTAGTTAACAATACATATAGTATTCTTTAATGTTATTTTATAAACTTCAGATTCTTTAAAAATATCTCTAACAATTAGTTCATTTGATAGGCTATGTATAGTATAAAGATTTTATTAGGATATTTTACTCTTAATTGTTTTCTATTAATTATAATAAAAATTTAGTATTTAATCTTTTTAAATTAAATAAATAATTAATATAAAATATTTACCTTGCAGCAGCATATTCACCAGCAGAATCTGATATATAACAATTGATTTGAATACCTTTTTGTTCAGCATTATCTATTATATTTTTAATAAGAATTTTTACATCTTTAATTCTTGATCGTAATCACTAATATCATGTGTTTCCCAAATTAAGTTTTGCCTTGAAAAGTAATAAAAATAACTTTAAAAAGATGTTCCTGTTTAATATTAGTCCAGCCATCAAAAGCTGCTGTTACTTAAATTTTATCATTAGATGTAACTTGCAAAATTAATTTTGTTAATTCATTTGCAAAGTTTAGAAATATTCTATTACTTATTGTTTACTGTCTAGGAAGCTTTAATGCAAGTATTATAAAATTGAATACATCTTGTATTTTTTTATTTTTCATAAATATAAACAGAAAACTATTTAAGACTATCATAAGTAATACCAAATTTTCAAAATGTTAGTTATCCTTTATTGATAGTGGATATGAAATATAATTAGCAGAAATGTTTATTTTATTGTATTTGTAAAAGGATTAGGTGGTATGAATTTAGAAGCGGTAATAGGATTGTTATCACTTTTAGATTTAGAAGCTTTTTTGGTAGTTTGTTAGAAGAGTTTTTTCATCTTCTGATATATAACGTAAAAGAATTTCTTTTCTTTCATTATCATTATATTCTTGTTTAAATTTAAACATTTTTTTAAATGTTCTCGACATAATTTTGCTTTATTAGAAACAAAGCAATTGGATTTTGATTGTGCAATAGGTAGGATATTTTTTTTTATACATGATCAGCAAACAGCTTTTTTATTTGCTTTTGGACTATCTGGTATAATCAGAAAAAAACTCATAAAAGTTGTATTCTTTTCTCATTATATTGCTTAAAATAAAATTAAAGTTGGTTCAAAATAAATTTAGTTTAGCTCAAAATAAAGTTTAAAGAAAAAAAGATTAGATGTTTAATAATAATCTTTTATTTATTATATATATGTTAATAATTACATAGATCATGAATGATTTTGGATAAACTTAAATAACCAAATGACCAAATGACTTAGAAAATTTTAAATGATCTAAATGACATAGGTCATTATGTTATAAGTCATTTTTAAATGACTCAAATTCCAAATGACAAAAAATGACCAATTATTTTAACGTGACTTAAGGTCACTTGAAAATTTGTCAAATGACTAAGTCATTTGCCATCACTGTTATGCATTGCAGATGAGCTAAGCCATATTGTACATCAATATGCTAATAACTGGCATAGGTGTGATTAAGATTATTGATAAGCATTTATGAAGCAAAAATTCATTATTTTCAATCTATTTGTATCTCGAAAGCATTTACATAGGATATGTGTCAGCTGGGACATGCCACTTCTTAATGAGAATCTAACTTCATAAATGTCAGCTTTTTTTTGTCATTTGCAGTTGCATCTTTAGATTCTCATTTTCACATTATAATTTCTTATTTGTACTAATCTGCTCTCTATATTCCCTTTCTATGTCTTGCATGAATTTTCAAAAGTTTTTTTATTATAATCAAACAGGTGCTAGCAAAATACTTTAAGCTCATTCATAACCTAATGATTATTCTCTTCTTCATGATCACAAGTGATATTATTAGTTTAGAACCTATTATCTGTGAAATATATATATGGTATTTTTTTGAATGATGTTAGGCACTTCGCTCAATTTTAAGTTTGTCTCTGATATATTAATCTTTTCTAATATCTAATAGCTTCATGTTTTAAAACTGATTCTACAATTGAATTAATTTCGCTGGTCTTTTTCTCAGATAATAGCTTATACTTCTATGATGTAAGACATACCCATGCTTCATTTATTAAGGAAGCTGGTAATTTTACTAATAAGTCAAAATATACTTAGTTAAACACTATTATATATCTATACATTATGCAAAAAAATGGAATTTCATGAAATTTCAAAAATAGACTACTTTATCATATCAGTATTATAACGTTAAAAGCTTTAGAAGTTTACTTATCAATATTACGAGAGATCTGCTAAAAAACTGTGACACAATTAAAAATGCATATGATATCAATCCATTAGTCAGCAAGAAAAATCATTTTGGTAGAGTACCAAATTGATACATAATCATATCTTTCACGATACAGATAGTATATTTTTTATTAATTCGTTTTGCAATTGCTTATCTTTCAATTTCACAATTCTGGTTTTAAGCTCATTAATACATGTTTCAATGAATCAGTTTCACCAGGACCATTTATTTCAAATTGTATGCTTATGTAATATAATATTAGTATGTTAATATTTAAAAATAAAAAATCATGTGATTTCAATGACCTCAGGTTATCCAAATTTTGCCAAGAAAAAAAATACAGATGAATATGTAAAAATAATCAGCCACTAGGGCATTTTATTGATATAGGAAAAGTAAAATACAAATTTACTATATATATATGACTTATTTAGAATCTACATTTAAACTGTTTTTGTTTCTTTTAAACTTAACTGAAGGTGTGTTAAGTAGTAAAAACATATTCACTATTAGAATATTCTGTAAAATTAGTAAAATCCTTACAAAATTTGTTACAATAGATAGATCTGATTATTGTATAGGAATTTCTGCTTCGTAAAGATGATAATAATGATATACATTTTCTATATCTCTAATGAGAACATTTAAACGTATTATTTATCCAGCCATTTGAATTCCAATAATTTTGAATTTATCTTTATCTGACTTAGATGATTTGTGAATCTAATACATTCCATCATTAGTTTTACGCTATAGCTTTATTTCATCATCTTTTTCTTTCTATAATATACAAGACAAGTGTAAACTTTTAACATATATGAGCTCGTATTTTTTTTCATTATGCTTTATTACAAACATGATATCTGACTGTTTTTCTATTTACCCTTTACCTTTTCTATCTGCACTAGCCAAACTTTAACGTTCAGCACTAATAGATAATAATATTAATATTAGTTTAAAAGTTTTTTAACTTAACGTTCACAATACAATTTTTTTAATTATATTATCATTTACCTGCTAACATAAGATGACCTT